CTAGCTAGCTACACAACCAATTAGCTAGCTACCCAACTATCTGGCTAGCTACCCAACTACCTGGCTAGCTGCCCAGCTAGCTAACTAGCTACCCAGCTAGCTAGGTGCCCAGCTAGCTGGCTACCCGAAATGTATACAGCTAGCTGCCCAGCTAGCTAGCTGGCTAGTCACCCAGCTAGCTGGCTAGCTAGCTAGCTAGCTGGCTAGCTAGCTAGCTACGCAGCTAGCTAGCTGGCTCCCCATCACCCAGCTAGCCAGCTAGCTAGCTAGCCAGTTAGCTACGCAGCTGGCTCTGTGTGCACGGACTCCTGGTTGGCGACGACGACGGAAGCTGCTGCTGCTGCTGCTGCTGCTGCTGCTGAAGCTCCGAAAGAAAAAGAAATGTCACTTGCTGCTAAAGCTGGCGCGTCATTGAGCCCATCGCCAATCATGCCCACAGAAGGAACTCCTGGAGATTGCAAAAGAGATTTTGGAATTTTGAAAAGTTTATTTTTTTATTTTGAAATTTAAAAACCTTTTTGAATATTTATTTGCATGTTTCGGCTTTTTGCTGTTCTTTTAAGGGGTTATTCGGCTATTTAATTCTTCATTTTTATAATTTTTCGTTTTTTTATTTTTATTTTTATTTTCAACTTTTGGCCTTCCTTGGCCGTGCACACAGATGGGCTTTCTGAAAATATTTAAATTAAAAACATTTTTATTTTAATTATTTATTTAATTTGGTATAAGAGGGTTATTCGGCCACTTCTTTGCTGCTGCTGCTGCTGCTGCTGCTGCTGCTGCCTCTGCTATTACTGATACTGCTGCTACTGCTGCCGCTACCGCTACTTCTACTGCTAGTGCTACTACTGCTGCTGCTGCTGCAGCCGATGCTTCTGATGCTGCTGCTGCAGCTGATGTTTCTGCAGCTGTTGCTGCTGCTGCTGCTGCTGCAGCAGCAGCTGCTGCTGCTGCTGCTGGAAAGGCTTACCCGTCTGCTGGCGCCTGAGGTTGAGAACAACTGCTGCTTTTTGTTTGGGCAAAACTTCGGCGAGGACATTTTGCTGCTGAATGCCAACAGCAGCAGCAGCAGCAGCAGCAGCAGAATCGCCAGTGCACAGCCACACTTCAATGCCCCGCTGCTGCAGCGCAGCAACAACAGCAGGAGCTTCCTGCTGCAGCCCGTCGGCCAGGGCCACGCAGCCTGCAGCAAAAGTGAAACAGAAAAAGACAAAAAGAAATTAAAAAGAAATAAAATGAAATAAAAAGAAATAAAAAAGAAATAAAAAGAAATAAAAGAAATAAAAGAAATAACAGAAAAAAAAGAAACGAAAAACGAGATTGGGAGACAAAGAGAAGACAAGAGGCGGCAGCAGCAGCGCACAAGAGGAAAAGGAAACAGCAGCAGCAACAGCAGCAGCAGCAGTAGTAGCAGCAACAGCAGCAGCAGCAGCAGCAACAGCAGAACTGAGAGAAAACAACTAAAGAGACACATAAAAACAATAAAAACCATAAACCCTAAACCCTAAACCCTTATCCCTAATCCCTAAACCATGCCCCGTACCCCCCAAACCCTAAACCCTAAACCCTAAACCCCAAACCCTAAACCCTAAACCCTCACCTAAGATTAGCCCTGCTGCCTGCAGCACGACTACTGTGCTGCCTTCTTTTTGCCTTTCTTCGGCCCACGCCTGCATGCAGCAGCGCAGCAGCACTTAAGCGAAACACATTTAGAAAATAGCAGCAGCAGCAGCAGCAGCAGCAGCAGCTGCTGCTGCTGCTGCTGCAAACAAAAGAAATAAAGGAACAAACAAAATAGAAAGAAAGACACAAACAAAAAAGGAAATGACGAAACCAAAAAGAAGCAAAAGAAGACACACAAAGACAAAAGCAGACAATTCGGGACAAAGACCAGCAGCAGCAGCAGCAGCTGCTGCTGCTGCTGCAGCTGCTGCTGTGTCTGCATCTGCAGCAGCGAGGCCTCGCTGGCCCTTATAAAGCCAAAATAAAAAGAAGAAAAGAAATGGCCAAAGAGCTAAAGGCTCCTGTTTGAATTTTCCTTGTTTCAAAGAACTGAATTCTTTTCAAATTCAATTTCTCCTTTTGCTGCTGCTGCTGCTGCTGCTGCTGCTGCTGCTGCTGCTGCTTACCTGCAAGCTGCCGCTCAGCACAGAAAGGCCCTCCACTCTTTCCCGCAGGCAGCCGCAATTGGGGCCCCCAACTTTGCAGCAGCAGCTGGAGCAGCAGCAGAGGGCGCTGCTGCACCCACTCTGCTGCTGCTGCTCCCGCTGCAGTGGGGAAGCAGCAGCAGCAGCAGCAGCAGCAGCAGCAGCAGCACAAACCATCACCTCCACGGAGTCGATGCTGCAGCGAAGACCCCGCCCAGGCAGGCTCGTGAACGAATCGGGGGCCCGCAGCGCAGGAACTCCTGCAGCAGCAGCAGCAGCAGCAGCAGGAGCAAAAGCAAGTCAGCAGCAGCAGCAGATCAGTAGCAGCAGGAGTTCAACTTGGCTGTTTGGACCATACTGCGTTAGCAGCAGCAGCAGCTGCTGCTGCTGCTGCTGCGCTGCTCGGCCGCGTGCACATTTTGGAGCTGTTCGTAAACAGAAAAGAACCAGCAGCAGCTAGAGGAAGAGCAGCAGTAGCAGCAGCAGCAGCAGCAGTAGCAGCAGCAGCAGCAGCAGCAACAGAAGCTTGCCTTCAAGTTGCGCTGCAGCTTTAAAAAGGGCCTTTCCCACTGGGTGTTCGCTGTTCATCTCGGCGACACCCAAAAGCCACCAGAAGAGGCCAGTTACTTGCTGCTGCTGCTGCTGCTGGTCCTGCTGCTGCTGCTGCTCTTGTTGCTGCTGCTGCTGCTGCTGCGACTCATCAGAGTTTGGTCCTAAGGATCCTGATATCCAGTCGATTGGAAGCGGCTCGGATTTGTTTTCAACCGTGGTCTCTTGCTGCTGTTGCTGCTGCTGCTGCTGCTGCTGCTGCAGCTGCTGCTGCTGCAGGCGGTGCAGCAAATGCTGCACAGGCTCGGGCAGCTGCTGCACTGCATCTACCGCTATTGCTGCTCGGACAACCTCAAATGTCCCTAAAAAGAGAAATCACAAACACAGAGTCTTCTGTTGCTGCTGCTGCTGCTGCTGCTGTTGCTGCAGCTGCTGCTGCTGCTCCTCCTGTTCCTGCTGCAGTGTCCAGTGGAAAGTGGCTCCGTGCAGCAGCAGCAACAGCCCCAGCAGCAGCGTTCGCAGCAGCAGCAGCAGCTCAGCCAGGAACCCAGCAGCAGCATCAGCAGCTCAGGCAGCAACTCCAGCAGCAGCATCCTCAGCAGCAGCAGCATCCTCAGCAGCAGCAAAATCCTCAGCAGCAGCAGCATCCTCAGCAGCAGCCGCCTCAGCAGCAGCAGCATCCTCAGCAGCAGCAGCAGCAGCAGCATCCTGAGCAGCAGCCGCCTCAGCAGCAGCAGCATCCTCAGTAGCAGCAGCAGCAGCAGCAGCATCCTCAGCAGCAGCATCCTCAGCAGCAGCAGCATCCTCAGCAGCAGCCTCAGCAGCAGCAGCATCCTCAGCAGCAGCATCCTCAGCAGCAGCAGCCACAGCAGCAGCAGCATCCTCAGCAGCAGCAGCAGCATCCTCAGCAGCAGCAGCAGCAGCAGCAGCAGCAGCAGCAGCAGCAGCACCTGTGGTGATGGTTCCAGTTTTGTCGAAAATGAATTGTTTCAAATTAACAGCAGCAGCATAAGCTGTGCTGCTCTTCACCAAAAGGCCAAAACGCGAAGCCACGCCGTTCGCCACCGCCTGCGCTGTGGGGGCTGCGAGGCCTGCAGCAGCAGCAGCAGCAGCAGCAGCAGCAGCAGCAGCAGCAGCAGCAGCAGCAGCAGCAGCGGAAGCGGGGAGAGAATTTCAGGTCAATTTAGGACGCCAGTGGAATCTTCTGAAGTTAAAAATTTAACAAAAGAGACAAAAAAAGTAAAAATAGAAAAACGAAACAAAAAAGAAATAAAAAAGAAATAAAAAGAAATAAAAAGAAATAAAGAACTTAAAAAGAAATAAAAAGAAAAAAGAAAAGATTAAAAAGTGAAAAAAGAAACAAAAGATTTAATAAAACAAAATGACACTTGTGAGACCTACTGCAGCAAAAGCCTCTCAGACAAAAAAAGAAACAAAAAAAAACAAAACACAAAAAGACAAACGACCTGGGGGGCCCCACAGGGGCCCCTGGGGGGCCCCACAGGACCCTTTGGGGGGCCCCTGGGGCCCCTTTTGCGGCCCCTCAATTGACCACGTGGGCCCCCGCAGGGGCCCCAGAGAGGCCCCACAGGGGCCCCTGTGGGGCCCCCCAGGGGCCCCTGTGGGGCTCCACAGGGGCCCCTGTGGGGCCCCTTAGGGGCCCCTATGGGGCCCCTTAGGGGCCCCTGTGGGGCCCCTTAGGGGCCCCTGTGGGGCCCCTATGTGGGGCCCCACAAGTCTATTACTGGGGCCCCCAAGTGGCCGCGTGGGGCCCCTTTGGGGCCCCCGAGAGGCCCCTTTGGGGCCCCTTCGGGGCCCCCCCAGGCCCCCGTAGGGGCCCCCCAGGGGCCCCCCGGGGGCCCCCCGGGGGCCCCCAGGGGCCCCCAGGGGGCCCCCCGGGGGCCCCCAAGAGGGTACTGTTGTGGGTCTCACTGAGGGCACAGGGGCAGGCGACGGAAAGGACTGCGACGGCGAACTGTAGAGACAGCAGGAGTTTGGAAGTTGTGGGGTTTTGGAAGAAAACCTTTTTGGGGATCGGGAGGAGTGGGATCGGGGAGACGATCCCAGCGAGCAGCAAAAAGGCCCACACGCAGAACGTTGCTGCTGCCAGCAGCAGCACCAGCGGCACGAACCACCTGCGAAGCCACGCCAAACCCTAAACCCTAGCTCTAAACCCTAAACCCTAAACCCTAAACCCTAAACCCTCAGGGCTGCGCCGTCTGCGCAGCAGCAGCGGGATCGTCGCGGACCCGGAAAGAGCCAGCAGCAGCAGCAGCAGCAGCAGCAGCAGCAGCAGCAGCAGCA